CGGTACGATAATGTAGACAAGTTGAAAGTCATTCCTGAAGTTTTCTTTTAAGCAGAAACCCTGAACGTATCTTATCGCGGTAAAAGTGGGAGCAATAAGTCATTCCTTGAAATTTATTTTTTTCTGGATTATACCCGAATGGGACTCAAATTCACATAGAGACCAACAGATCCAGTTAACTTAAAAATACGCAATTATGTGCCTTGCCTTTCTTGTCACTCATGCACTAATATTGCATTCTATAGCTATACATTTTACATATCGACGAATACTTCACAGAATCAACCAAAATCGCTAAAATCGTATTACAAAGGTGTTTCTCTTGTCGCATTTATTTGTCGCTTTTGAAGTTGCTGGTGGAGCAGTTTGGAGTTCTGGATATAGAGCTCTCCGACTAGAACCATATCCGTTATTCTGCCCTTGTTAAAAAAAAAAAATTGGAAAATCGTTTCTTATTCTGTCTCTGCTAAACATCTGTCGTCTTGCATAACCAGTAGAGTCGTTTTTGGCTTAGCAGCGGCGTACGAAGGCGTTGAGGGCGGGGTCGCGGAGGGAGTCGGAGCATCTCCATTTCTTGATATCGGTCTTTGCTCCAGGTAATTAAGGTATTCAGTACCTTCACCTCCGTCAGTAGGTTAACGATGATCCTGTGTGCACAGATGTCTAAGCTATCTTAGAAAATCCATGTAGATGGCAGAAGTTACTGTCATGAAAGGTTAGAGCCTTCAGCTTGTTGATCGATATGCAAACCATGCCCATGATTTTATCGAGGTCAACATGGTTTCAGCATTATTCATGGTCAGGAATCTAACTGGTGCCATGTTAAGTGGGCAGGGCGTGGTGCCATTTCAGATGAACTGTGACGTTGTCTAATCGGCTAAATGCTTTTCCGCACATGGAAGGACCAATACAAATAAAATATTCATTCCACGATGCAAATCGCCCTTCCAAATGTATTATTGCAAATGATTGACTCACTTGAAATCAGAAAAAAATGGACACCTCTTCTCACCTTGACACGTCTCTGGAGTAAGTCTTATGGTCAGGACTTGTCTCCTTTTGTTTGTGGGCGTAACGTAACATTGGTACATCTCTGTTTCATAATGATGAAGGTTTTGGTCATGTCTTCTGAATTTTCAAAAGCCACATGAGGGCACGAATATGATTTTCCCTTTTGGAAAAACTAATAAAATTCCAGGTATGAGCTAATATAAGAAAACTGATCGTTTTCAAAGCCTGAAGATACCCTGTATCTGCGCACATGTACTTACCTGAGGGACTTAGTAAAATAGTTCATATTTTTGCAACTGGATCTGCTGTTCTCAGTACGAGAATATGCGTGCTACATTAGGACATATCTGAGGAGAGAAATGAAAGCAGAATGAATCGATCAAAGGCGCGAGACTCAGAATACCCCCTCCCCCTTTTAGTGAATTGCAATGCATCCGTTCGAAGCCTTCTTGCTGCCACCGCATTTATAGCCGACAAGGACAGGGCCAAGGACAGTTCATCACGTAAACATGTCGGGCAGAAACGACGAGTTTCTACCGAGGGAGTTGGGAGACCGAAGTCCGATATTGAAGAGAGTTTGAGGCCAGTGATTGCCGTCAGCCCACTTTTCTATTTCCCCCGGCTAAGATCCGATCTGTCGGGAGAGAAATCTGGCCTCGTGCCCCGACTCCTTCAAGTCCTCTCCACCCTCGTACTCTCCTCCCACAGTGGTCTACATACTTGGCCTTACGCTGGTCAATTTCTGTATGGAAAATCCTGCAACAGCGCCATCAAGATCTTTTCGCATACTCCTATGACTCTCATGCGTTGTACTCTCATCTGTATTTTACTTCGTCTTCAACGGTGTTTTCATCTACTACTCGTATCACTAAAAAAAATGTGTTTTGATCCGCCTGATTCGAGTTCACGATGACTACGCCTCAATTCTCTTCGACTGCAGAGTCTCCATATCGGCGTTCAAGGTATAAAATGATGTGGTTACAATTCATTGAATCCTATTTAAGTTCCGTACTTTTTCCAAGTTAGACTAAGTTGTTGAGTATCATATGCCTTTTGGAAAACCTTGATTATCATGCTGTTTCTGGGACATTGCTCTTAGCGGAGGGATTTCGAAAGACAGGATCATGGATTTGCATCGAATCCTACAATGATACGCCCCTTCATGGGGAGCACATCTAAAATACATAGACGATCGTGACTGACAGATTGACTGACTGACGCTAATTCTAACCATGTTCTGGAAGGGTTAGAAATCTGAAACTTAGTACACATGTACCTTTTAGGATGCAGTGTTTAGAAAAAATCCGACTTTTAAGGCCCTAAGGGTACAAATTTTGGGGGGAGGGTGGGGAGAGGGGGGGAGAGGGGAGGCACCTCTTAATAATTTATCCGGAATAAAGCTATTCTACTTTCTCGCGGTGTCTCATTTGAGTTCTATGGGACGGGAAGTCGATTAGCTCAAATTAGGAGGACGTGAATGTTTCACAATGAGCAGCACGCGTTAATGACGACAAAATAACATCGACTAGTCGAAAGAGGCTGCTTAAATCTAAAACGGTGAAAGAATCAGGTGTTATTTCACTCAGCGAAAGGATCGAGTCTTGATCGTGGCAGTGCTGAGACGGATAGACGCTTTTCATTCATCTGATGGCAATCACTATTTAATAGTTGGTGATTTTTGCTATCCCAGGGAAAAATATTTATTGCATTCTATGTCAACCGTGAACAATAATACCAGATGCGCCGATAGTTTCACAATGACAGAATAGTTTAGAGAAAAAAAAAGAAAAAAAGCTTTACAGAAAAAAAGAGGATTTAAAATGTCGTGAAAATAAGAGACATTTCGTGCCAAGACAGCATGGAACTCGCCCACGAACCTGCATTAATGCATCATAAAGTTTTCTTACTTCCAAGAACTGATTCCGCGACGCAGAGTTTCTTTCAATTTACATATTTTCAAGCAGTTATTAATGTCAGGCTCTTCCCGGATAATTACTTTCCAATTCATCCGACAGAACTATTAAGTCGCTTGGAAATGTCAAGAAAGTCAGTTATGCATGCGGGACCAGGTAGCCTCTACTGAAGAAATGAATATTCACAGGACTTCTTTCTCATCGCAGACCCAAAGAGAAAAAAAATCATTTATCGCAGCTTCCTTAGTCGCGTCTTCTTCCTCGCGTGGAGCCACTCGCCGGCGAGGGCGAGGCACGCGAGGGCCATGCAGGCCGTGAGGTAGACGAGGAGGGATATCACGTCCGCGAGGGAGGCGTGGTCGTAAGAGGTGGAGGTCGTGCGGGCCTTGCCTCTGTCGGAGATCCATTGCTGCTTCATTCTCGGCAGGATCCCGGATTCCTGGAACGTCTCGATGCTGGAAGAGGGGGAAGGTGGATGGGCATTCGTCGGGTCTGTCGGTGGATGCATCACATCGTTTTTGTCCCATGTCCTGTCACGGTCGACCCTCAAATATTGGCTGCGGAGCCATTCGCGACCCATGATCGTATCCCCCATGCCTTAACGTCACGATCACTTCATTTCGTCATCCAGTTTGACTTAGTTGCGATTTCGGTTACCAGTCCCCTACGGCGTGGGGTTCACCCCTGCCAACATCTTGCCTACAGTCCGTGGGATAAACAGAGGAAGGCGGTGCTTCTTCGCGTTCCTTCCGTGCGGTCATTCCGTTTACAGGAATGGCTTCCTTCGGCTTCTAGGTCCTGTTCCGGGCTCACTCCAAGCCCAGATATGGACCGATCTCCAGCGATTGTGAATTAGAAGAAGCCGCTCGCCACATTCTTAGCGCGACAAGTTGAACGAATCCAAATTCAAGTTCTATAAATGAAACTTGGAAATTCTCAACTGCTTTTCCAGACGTCTAATACGTGGAAGTAAAAAGAGCAATTGAGAGCAGAGAAATGCATTCGAAGCCGCAGCAGTGACAGACGGCGAGAAAGAGGAGTGGCAGCTCGCACCCGCAGGTTGCCCGGAATGCCATTGGAACCGGACAAGATGCTCGCCTTGCTTGCCTTGATTGTGTCGACACCGACGGCAAAACGGAAAAAATAGGCATCGACAATTAGGTTGGGTGCTAATATCAATTCGGACGCAGACTTCATGGAAGAGTGAGAAAACGATTTCGAGGTCACTTACTGAACGATGAGCGGAAGAGGTGGGGGGACCTGTGCCTGCATTTCCTCCACGTTCGTCTGAGGCAGCTGCAGGTGTAACGAGGGGCTGGACGAGGAGGAGGCCAAGTAAAGGGGGGAAAGTAGGCTCGACGCGAATCTCGGTACCAAAGAAATGGCAATTGCGTGTTCGCCCATTCCCTAACAGCGGTCTTGGAGGGGATCCTGTCAGCTATGACGGGGAGAGGGGGGGAGGGGGAAAGGGGGGGCAGGAACCCCCTGCATCCCTTCCTCCGCCTGAGTACGCCACTCGGCCAAATTCCTGTTCATGTCTCAGTTTATCTAAAGCTTGAACGCTATTAAATGGGAGCAATGACTGCAGGATTTAAGTTGAAACTTAATCCAATTTCACTTAATGTCGACTTGTACTCTTGACAGCATGAATTTTTTCTTTTAATATATTATACTACTCTAAATATGAATTTTCCACGGTTCGAGACACATCCAATAAGCCACGCTAAGATGAAAAGCCGCGTTCGTCAGAGTTCCGGCACACCTTCACAATTGCGAGGCCGTGATGGTTCCAGATTCGAGACGAAGGGAGATTGTTGGTCGCGGCGAATGTGGTTAACCGTTGCGATGGAACTCTGGAAGTCGTTCGGCGTGAGGCTTCATGGAATGCTCGCGGGCACGACGGACACGATCGAACGTCACTGAACGACGTCGTATATTAATGACTGCCGAGGAGAATTTTATTTCGCTTTTCCAAGACGATTTTGGCTGCGAAAGCGGATGCAGCGAAGAAAGCGAATCACGGTGGAAAGACCAAAAATTTTCACGAAAAACGGGAAATAAATTGCCATCGAACACTCACAAGTGGCTGAAGATTTTCGTGTAGAGGGAATTCTTCGTGAGAGCAACGGTGAGCCGCTCCGAAGCAACGACCCCAGGAATCGCCGACAATTTGCATTTTTCCGCCGACACGGAAACGGATTCCGACGGTCCGACGAAAGCGTAGTTCGGGTTCTCGTCCGTCCTCCTCACCGCTTCTTCCAATGTTCCGTACAAGTCCTTCTCTTTCCCGAGGATCAACTTTTCATATATCTCAGCCATGGGTGCCTCCTTCGACTGTGAGGGGGGGAGTGAGGGGGGTGTGGGAAGAATCGACCCTTTGAAAACGGGATCCGCTTTACAAGTGCGAAACGCAGAGTCCCTTACCATATAAGCATGATAGAAAAGGTCGAAATCGGAGGATTCTTTCATGATCCCCAGTTTCCAGGAGGATCCAAAGAAGCGAATTTCCTCCCAGTGGGAGAACGGGAGCGCGTCCACTTCCACGGCGAGGAACGACGTGACCACCGCCGAGTAGCTGTTGACCAGCAGGAGTCCCAGCACGAAGCTGAGCCACACGGTGAAGCGGGCTGCTGGGTGCTTCGGCTCTCGCGGTATGCCTGTCATTTAAATACATTTAAATAATGCACAAATGGTACTAATTACGAGTGGCCGCTTTTTTCCGGGATTAAAAATGAGGTTGGCCAGCTTGTAGGTTGGCCCAAGGGTGAAAATTCCGCAAGAAAAACAGCAGAGCAAGCAGCGAGAGAAAAGAAAGAAAATTTAACATTTGCTAAGTCCTCCTGTTAAGACGAAACTTCGAGCGGTTTCGTTAAATTAGTGAAATTATTGAGTCCGGGAAACACTTATCGCCGCATTCGTTCTAGGAAGGCAGACTGTCTCATTTTAAGCGTAATTAATTAACATCTCTCTCCACCTGATCGCTCGTTCTTCCTTACTTGGGAGATTTGTCGTCGACGATTGCCATACCTTGCATGCAGGAGGCGCTCCAAACGACGAGAAGATCGGTGGAAAAGGTCCGGCCTTGGAGATTCCCATCTTCGGCTTCGTTCGCTCGGACGAACCAGAGCGCGAGGGCGAGGGCGACGACGCCGGCGAGACTGGCGAGCCAGAGCCCCAGCGGGAACGGCCTCCAGTAAGACTTCCACGCGTTCTTCTCCTGCTTCTTCGCCGTGTACATTCTGGGCCTGGGAACGGGATCGGAGGTCATCGCGGGAATGATGGGGTGGGGGTGGGGGTGGAGGGGGATTGGGTACTCGTAGTCGTGGATGGGCGTGGGGAAGTCCATGTATTGGGATCTCGTCTTCGTGATGGTCAATTCCGAGACGATTACGTCGATCTCTGCCCTCTGCAGCATCCCGAACAGTCCGTTGTATTCCTCCCCCTCCGCGTCGAGGCTCCCGATGTTCAGTGCTGGGTTCGCTTCCATGAGTCGACGGTCATGGAATCTGGGAATTTTCGGGGGGAGAATGCTTTCTGCCGGCTGTGGCATTTGAGGAGGGGAATCGAGGGGGATTTCGCTCACGTGAAGTTGAGGACTTGTTGTAAGAGCATCCAGGTTTCTCCAAATACTCCGGTCATGATCTGGTTCTCGTTGTCGATGTACACGACGAAAGGGTCGCTCTAGGGTAGGGACATTCGAGAACGGTCATCTCCATTCGGGGGAACATCTTCAATAATCATCTCGACTCCGTATGTCTTAATTAGCACATTTTCTTTTGCGGCTGGGTCGCTGTTGCTCGCAATATCTGCGCTGCAAGCATTGCACTTTACGTTTGGAATTATTTGAGGAATTTCCGAGGCGCTACTGCACCCAATTGGAAGGGCATTATTTTTCTCCCAAGTTGAGAAAAAAATTCGCGTTTTTACCCTCACCTCAATCGAGCAGACTTTGAAGTGGACTCCGGCGAGATCCTTGCGTCTCTCGTACTTGTTCTTCTCCATCAGGAACGTGAGCTTCTGCCCGTCCCAGGTCCCAACCTGGAAGAACAAGGACGCTGTCACTCGCGAGGCGTTCATACTCCGATTGCGTCCGATTGCGTCCGGATCGAACCCTTTGGTAGACGAGCGGGATGTCGAGTCCCTTTCGGTACGCCTCGTGGAGGGAGGCTCCCGCCTCACCCTCCAGTCGATCGCGCCTCGCCGCGTAGAGATTCGAGTCCAGGAAGATGGGGAGTTCTCCCAGCTGAGAAATGAGTTTCTCTTCAGACTCTGGCGAGTCGTGGAGAACCAGCCAGACGTCGTTCGAGCGAAAGGACGGCGCCTCGATGTCCTGCGCTTAAGAAATGCCACCTTTTTGGCTTGAAAAAAAAACCAAGCGATCGATTTTGTCTCGAAAGCGATTTAATTGACTCACGGATGGTCTGAGATCCTGATTTTCATTGTAGAAAAGTACTATAAACATTTCCTGGGCTCTCTGGTCGCTGTCGGACGCATTGCTTCCCACCCCGTTATGCAATTTACCACGTCTTTCTTGCTCAGGGGTGCTAGCAGCCTATGGGCCTTGTCCCAACCTAAGACTATGGAACGGGAGCAGAACAGAGCGAAGAACTTGAAAAAATAAATCATCACCATTATTTTGAAAAAATGAGGCGAGAATGTTAAGGTGTCCTTGTAAAACAAGTCCTTGCAGAATTCTCTTTCAGGACAATACTGCAGTATTGCGAAGAGATACTGCTTGCACTCCTGCCTGCAACATCCTGCCCGTCAGCCTGCTCGTCTTGGTCGAGCGTTCGTAGCGTGAGGACGTGTTGGAGGTTACTCTCGAGGTTCTGACAGCTAAGTCGTGAGTTAGTTGTTACCTGGCTACTTTGTAGCAGTATTCATAAGTTTTCTGATAGCTACTTCCAATTTCACATTAGATCAGTAACAATCAGCTTAATTACTTTAAGTATTAGCACATTACTCGTAGTATTCCCTTTACTACAAGGACTAGGACATATCAGTCTTACCGGGTTATAACTAGTGTGAAGCACTGCAAAGTACAAGTCTAAAGCAGTAGGTGTGTCAATAGGGATCAATAACATTAAGTAAGTAAGATGCCTAGGATGTGTAGATGCGTTCGTTGCGGGGATTGGGTAGGTGGGACTAGTCAACGAGAGGTATGCCAGGTATGCAGAGTTTGTAGCTTGGAGGAGCGATTAGGGGAGCTATCGGGAAGGCTCATTAGCGTGGAGGAGGAGAAAAGGGGGATCAGGAAGGAGGTGGGCGAGGTACAGAGGGATGATTTAGTGGCGAGGCTAGTTAGGGTGGAAGAGGCACTCCGGGGGTTCCCCAGCCTTCCGGACTTTACTGGGAGGGTGGCCCTTTCGTCCTTTGACAGCGCGACGAGTGCCGACTCCCAGGTGGCTAGTAATTGGGCTCAGGTCGTAAAAGGGGCGAAGGTTAAGCGATCCCAGGAGGCAGTCATTAAGACCGAAAACAAGTTTCTCGGGTTGAGGGAGGTCAGCTTGGATGAGGGAACGGAGGGCGGGGTGGGAAC